AAAAGCTGCCTTTGCGTCCCAGACGACCCAGCCATTTTTGGAAAATATGAAGTCTATATAAATAAGTCTTCATGTCAGTCATTGTATTACACAATATGAATAAATGAGTCTGTGAATAAATTTGTGGAAAAAATAGGCAAGCTGTATGATCAAAATAACGGAAGATTATCATAGAAGATTGGTTAGTTAGAGTGTCTGTGAACCAGGAATTAATACAAAATGATCATGCAGAAAACTACACATGCAAATACTTATTCGTATTATGATTTATTCTTTTCGAAGACGTGAGGAACACTTGAAACTGCGCAAGTGGTTCGCGTTATTTGAATCAGAATACGAAGCAGTCACGTGGTTGTGTGCGAAAACGAAGCTTTGGACGTCACAGATCACGTGGTTTTGGCAAAACGAATCAAGCTCCGGTACAGTGCTTCACTGTGAGATGTTTCGTTTTTTTGATACAAGCTTCGAAACCTCGGTGTCGAACGTCACGTTACTACTGTGATCTTTGTTTGGAACTATTTTCGTTGGCAAAATTGAGCAAAAACAAGCAATATTATGTCTAAAATGTAAGTCACTTATTGCTTTACTGAACTTGTATAAAATTATTATTAAATGTGTTCATACTGATATCAAGTTTCAAGTTTCAGTTTATTTATATAGCACGTATAAAACAGCCACAATGCTGACCAAAGTGCTGTACAGAAATTCAAAATAGTAAAAAGAATATAAAATTCTGCACAACTACACAATTAAACAGGGTCTCGCCTAAGTATTATTACTTCGTTACATTACACCACTGCCGAGGACTCAACAAGAACCGAATGAGCCGTGGCGAAGTTTGCTGAGGATTACCGAAGATTCTGATGAGTGAGTTGACGATATTGTGCAAGCCTGAGGCGCGTACTGGAAATATGCATATTAGGGCCCAAGCCACTAAGGCGCAGGGCCCTATTGATCCCCTGAGGATTATTAGGGCCCAAGCCACCAGTGTTGGGCAAGCTACTTGGAAAATGTAGTGAGCTAAGCTAACAGTTACTCTTCATTAAATGAAGCTTCACTACACTAAAGCTACAGCCCTGTGAAATGTAGCAAGCTAAGCTACAGCAACATGGCAAAAGTAGTTTACTACATCTAAGCTATTTTTTTTTGTTCTGACTGTAAACAAGCTGAGATGCTCCAAACTGCACGCTGCACTTCATTCACGAGAGAGACGGGAGGAATAATGAGGTTTGACTGACAGTTTGAGGAGCCAATGGAGTTAAGAGGTTTAGCGGTGGTGGCGTCACTTTTACTGGTCCAGCATCAGTGATCCTTAGCAGTTATATTTCCGATTTGAGCTTGAGCTTCAGAATGCTTTGGATATTGTAGCATTTGTTGACGCTACCGCGCTACTTGATCAAAAAAAGAGCTTCGCTACTGAAAAGCTATTTGATTAAGAAAACAGCGACGCTACCACCACGCTACTGAGAAATGTAGTTAAGCTCGTACCGTCACTACTTGTAGCGACGCTACTGCCCATCACTGCAAGCCACTAATGGCGCTTTTCCACTGCGTGGTACGACTCGGCTCGGCTCGGCTCGGCATGGCACGGCTCAGCTCGGTTTGCGTTTCCGCTGCAATTTAGTACCGCTTTAGAGTGGGCAGGATTATTCACATAATACTGCCGTGACTCCTGAAAAACTTTTTCATTCCACATCGCCCCATCAAGCTCTCGCTGGAACCACTCCTCTGCTGTCAACGAGAGGAACGTCTGTACTTCCTCAACAGACCACGAAACAGCCATTTTTGGGTTGTTAAAAAAGGTGCGCTCGTTCAAAACAGTTGCGTTCGATTCTTCGCTGGCTGTGCTGATTTAAATCTACCGGGTCTGTTATGTCTCGTGTCGCAAGTTCAGTGACGCAGGGATT